GGACTCTGTAGTAAGATTAGTGAGAAATACAGCCCCAGCAAGGCGGTCCTCCGATTTGAGAAGGTAGACCAGTTCCTGAGTGACGGTCGATTTACCTAGGCCAGCAGCGCCATGTACCCACAGGACAGACTCTGGGGCATCAGCTATCCAGTCGGAAATGTCCCGTATAACGTCATCTCGACTTTTCTCAAGATATTCGTTGCGTGTGTAGTCCGGATGGCTTGGCAGGCTGTTCAGTGACACAAAATCTGGATTATGTCAGTTCGGTTCACCACTCGGTCAGGTATCTCGGGCTCACCAATTTTCCGGTTGAGTTCCTCGGTGTCCAGCTTTATATTGACCGAATTTTCGGTCTAATTGCAAGTTCGTAAAGAATTTTACATACGAGGACGTAACGAACCTGAAACAATTGGATGGCGTCGTTCAGCCTTACTCTGATAGCTTGAAGGTCACCCATGTGAGCGCTTTGTTGCAAGTACCGTGAAAGCAGATTGCGACGACTAAGTTCGTCACATTCTCCAGCTATGCTTCCGAGAGTCCTATGTAAATTTCGGGTCAATACGATATAATTTGCGGATGTGACTGCTGTTACCCACTTTATAAATTCGTTCAAGGCTCGTTTGAGTTTCTCTGATGGCCCCACCGTACTCTCAGAACAAATAACAGCGCAAGAGACAACAAATATTCCAGCTGTAGCGGCTACTTGATTCATTTCGTCGTAATTCGAGCGAGTTTGCTGATGACACTGAGAATTACAGTAACTGAAAGGAACGAGGACATACCGAGACGGCCTGCAACATACTAACGACTTTTCCAATCAATGGTTGGACCCATGGTACTGGTATTAAAGAGCTGGCTTCTTCTACGAGGGTGAGGATGGTTATGGTTGTCCCGATAGTTATATCGAGGATTTTGGATAGTCTCTCCGAAGTTCCAAGTTCGCCATCGCTCACGAATGAAGGCTGAACGATGTGTGAATGACGTGAGATCGGGTGGGACAAACCGGAATGTCGAAACTGACCTTGATCCTATCGATATCTTCGTTTATCATGACCATCAATCCATCCAAGGATTTTCCGTCGCCATGTTGGATAGTCTTGAGCTTTGCAACTGTCCTAAACGACGGATCGATACATTCAGGACGATCAAGTCTATAGAAGATCAATGCTGAATTCTTACTCGTTGAAGGCCGTTATTGCCCGTGTGGCTTCTGCACGCTGGGCATCAGTAGCAGATGCGAGTTGGACAATGAACCGAGCACAGGTTTCGAGAATTTCGGTAAGCTGGAGGATAAGAATGTCAGAGATCGATATGCATGATACATTGTAGACATTACTTGGCCTTCCGAGTCCTTATCGCGGATGATAACGATAAGCTGGATGAGCCTCTTGAGTTCGGGACTTTCTTGAAGGGTGTACGCGATAGAGAGAATGGCCATATCTCTCTTAAAAGATTTGCCCTTCGCGAACTTTACTTTCTCCAGCTTCGTCGATGTCGGTTCTGTATCGTGAGGATTCAGCACCGGGGGTTCTATGTTGCCTGCCGACTGTGGTAGTGGTAGGGCGGTAGTCGGAGGCTGTGTCGCTGCTATGTCGATGGAAGACGACTCGGTGGGTTGGGGGGTCCTGGGTCGCACTGGCAAATGAAAGAATGTCATCAACTTATCACGTTTACGATCCCGCGTCGGTTTAGGTGCCATAACTGGGCAAGTTGAAATGGGTGTAAAGAGGAAACGTTGTCGACCGCACTGTCCTGTGAGAAATGACACCGCCCTCGAGGCCTCGAGGACCACGCCAGATCGGAGGCTTTAGTACCACGTTTCTCAGAGGGTATATTCCGGAGCGGTCCCAGTAAGGAACAAATGGTTTGTATTGGTGTAATCGGAGTTGGATGTCCGAACCGACTCTAGCATCACTGGCACTGGCGATATATGTAAATCGCATTCCTACCAAAATCAAGAATACCCATGTCAATGCCACCTCGCCTTGTCTTCCTCCTGCCCTTTCAACTCCGCTTCCGATTCTTCCTCCCCGTCAAACCCACCACCAATAATCCACATATATTCCTTCGGTGCCTCCCGATCCACACGTCCATCGCCAGTTTGAGGGGTACTTAGAGCAGGGAAGAGCGTCTTGTTCCAGGTATTCTTTCCCTTCCCCTCCACTCATAATTACGAAAAACACTCCTAGGCAACAACCGCATATCACCTCCACCTCCCTCTCCAGGCCTATACCCCTTCCTTAACGAACGACCCATTCGATGGGCGTCGACTCGGGTTGGTCGCTTTCCGAAATACGGGGGGGGGGCTTGACACCGATGGGGTGGGGGAGGAAGGGAACCTTGTGGATTTGCCGCTCATCGCGCTGAGTAATGGGCAGACGAGGAGAGCGAGAATTGCGAGGGCTGTTATGAAGGCTCCGGAGGTGCTTTGAGCCGCTGAGTAAGTGGTTCTTCGTCCTTGCATTTCGTCGTTCCCCTTCCTAAACGTTCTTTCATTCTTTTTTCGCTTCTTCTCCTTCCTTTCCTTGCTATCCTTCGTATTTTGCATTTTTATTTCCCGTGCTTCCCGCCGTTCACCTCCCACTTTTTTCATTGCCTAGGCACGTTTCAACCCTCCCTTGGTCTCTCACTCGCGTTCCCTCACGCAGGCTGCCCTCCATATCCCTGCCTCATCATCGTCTTCTTCGTCCTCCTCTGCCACAACTCACCCCACCGCACGCACGCCTTGCACCCAAGAAAACGCACACCCACTGCACACCTCCGCACACTGATTGGCGTCGTCTCCCCGGAACTATTCAACGCTTTCCCACGTCGTCATCCAGGCATGACAGTCTGGGGAAACCGTTGTTACGGGTTTTGGAGGGGGTTTCGTACCGCTCAAGGGGAGTGAGAGGGTGGGTGAGATATGTGTGGGTGAGGAGGAACTTGGGTTTGAGGTTGGGATGGGAAACGAACCGAGTGAGGTGGAGAAGGAGAAGAGGAGAAGGGAAATTGGAGGATGGAGAATCGCTAGGTGCTATCTGCCCTCCGACCAAGCGCGTGGTCGACACCAGAAACTACAGGAACTCCCGAGACGGGAAAAGACTTCGCATCCCGTTGCTTCACGACCCTCTCCCCTGGGAAGCAGTGTATCGTACTCCTCATGCGCGCCTTGGTCTCCCGGCCTCCGTTGGTGCTCCTCGACGAAGTTTGGAGCGGGATGGACGAGGGTATAATTAGTGACGTGCAGATATACTTGATTGGGGAGGGACAGGCTGTGGTTGTGATTACGCATTGGGATGAGGACGTTCCGTGGGTTGGGGAGAAGGTTAGGCGGTTTAGGATTTGGGAGGGGAGTGGTGGCGTTGTTGGATGAATGAGTGGTGTTGCTCCGATTTGATTTCTTCAGGATGAAGGTAGAAAAGGGTTTGTGTGGTCTCCGGCGCCAGACTGGGGACCAGGGCATTGGGTGTCCTTAAATTGGGTCGTAGACGATGGTAGACCAGATGAAGACGAATACATTGATGGCTCCAAGAGCTCCCTCTCAGCGAAACTGGCCACCTCGATGGCAGGCCTGAAGCAAGCATAAGTAGGATCCCGGATAGAGATACTTTTCTACTTACGTGATGGGTGCAAACATGAGGTGGTGCGCGCAGAACAATAGAGGGTACACACGCGCTCCCAATTGATGGTTCGCCTTCAAACCGAAGTACTCTTTTTTGACGAAACCGCGTTATCCCCTCGAGAACAAAAAGGTCCAACATGGTATACTCACTAAGATCGCCGAAGAACCTGCTTGCCGTACCGCTGAATGCGAAAGAAAATCTCCAGAAGAACGGCTATTAGAGTTTGTCATTAGCGCAGTAGGTGAAAAGTCAAGGAAATGTGTTTACTTGAAAAGAGCCAAAGCCTTGGTGTCCCATGATGCGCACGATCTAGAGCATTTTACGTGGGCCCTCAGCTCGTCGGGTCTTCAGCTTGAAGCGGCAGCTCGGTTGCTTTGATTGCTGGTAGACGATGAACGATATATACTCGATTTCACTTTCGCCTGGAAACAAAAATTATCATGTTAATTAAGGGTCTCTCCAAATTTTGGCAAAGGAAAGCTTACGGTGTTGGTGAACGTGTAGCCGATGCCTCCAGACAAAACGCAATGGGCCATGGAGAGGCAACCAGGTTTGGCCGCGCGTGCAAAAGCGGAAGGAACACGGCAGTAGTTTTGCCAAGCAGGTTTGAGCGCGGTAGTAGCGTGCTCGCTGGCACTCGGCTAAACCAAAGCGTCAGACGAGTCACACATGGTAGCTGGTAAGTAACAGAAAAAATTCAACATTGACAGTTGTTTGTCCCAGTAATTTCCGCGTGTTGTCGTTAGATCTTTAGTGCTTTGCAGTAAATAGTAATCAAAGTGAAATAATCGCTGAGTGAGTTAGTGTAGAGATTATTTGATTAGATTACAGAATACAAATTATAATCCCTCGAAGAAAGAAAGGTCCTGTGCCGACAATCCCCCAGTTTTTGTCCCAGAAGAAGAACCCACAGTCCTTGGTGGTGGGGCTGGAGAGACAGAGGAAGGCCGCATTGTCGGTATGGGCTGGAGGAAGTTGCCGTTGGATGGAGGGAAGGGTTGCGCAGTGGTAGGTGTCCGAGAAGGAAGGGGAGGTGCAAAACTAGCTGTTGCTTTAGCCTGTTGCGCTTCCATCGTCGACTGTGAGGAGAAAAGATTGTGGGAGTGGGCAGAAGCTCCCGGAGGCGGTAAAGCTTCTGGAAGCGCCGAGGGAGGTTCCAGCCACCGTCCCCGTGCGGCGGCTGTCTCCAATAGGCTGAGAGTCCGAGAGTGATCAGCGGCTCGCGATACCCTTCGCGCAGGTGTTTGCTGGGGCGGTGGAGACGCTGATGGTTTCTTTTCCGAATGCAGGGTGTGTGATTTGCTAGGTGGCTATTTGCTCGGTGGTATTCTAGGATTGAACTGTAGAGGCTTTGTGGGAGGTGGCGGAGGGAATGAGGAGGTCTTTGTGGGCTTGATGAGAGCATCGAAGTCATCGAGGGGTGTTGAGATACTGCTTGGCCGGATTGGTTCTGAAAACACAGATGTAGCGGTCGAGCCAAACGACGGAGGCAAAAGGGTGGCTTGGGAAGGGGACGACAAGAAATCCGAGAAATCGTCGTCATCGTCTTCCAAGATTAGTTTTGCAGCAGGTGTAGGTTGTTGATGCGGAGTGTGAGAGCGCGATGATGGAGGTGGCGGAAGGAATGGGATGGCTGCGGCTGTAGGTTTTCCGAAACGTTGAGGACTCGCAAATGGTAATTTCCCAGGCAAGTTGGGCACTAGCCCCGCGGAAATGTTGGGTACTGATGCTGAGGGCGTTTGAGACATAATAGCAGCAATCTTTCGTTTAGTTGGTGGAACATGGCTTTGAGGTTTCGCTGTAGCAGGCGGTAAGAAATCGAACGAGGGCCATGTATCGTTCGTGGGAGTCGAATGTACGTTACTAGAACCTGCGGGTGGTGTCGCATTCTTGACGGGGAGTGGTTGTATTGCAGATGATAGAGACGAATTGCCGATTTCTTTGTTCGACGGGCTTATCGCAAAAAGGTCAGGGACAGGGGACTGCCGATCGAGTGAGGAGGGACCGAACAGGGACATTATGTCGTCATTGGGTTTAGAGGGAGAGACTACGCTGGAACTCAACGACGATGAAGGTCGGCTTTGCTGGAGTCGAGGCGGAGGCGGCAAGGGTGGGGGAAGTGTACCTGGAACTTGGAAGGGGTGAAGAACCAAACATGTCTGTAAGGGTGTCGAGCTGTGTTTGGTGATCAACGTCGTCCTGGGCACTGGGTACATGGAATCCTTCGAGGATAAACTTTCGATCGTGGCAACGCTAGCCATTTGCCTCCACGTCATGCTCGTGGAGGATAGATCGCCTGAGCGACTGGAGACGTTCTTGATACCACCGGGAACCGACTTTGACGATGAGTTTATGGACAACGATTACGCTGAGGGGAATGAGTCGGATGATGGAGACGAAGTGGTCTGCACTTCCGAT